CAAAAAGTCCTCAGTCAAAACTGGAAATGAATGGAGAAGAAAATGCTGAAGTATATTTGCAGATGGGGATAATTTGGTGTGAAATCAGAGATCTCAAAGAAGAGTGTGAAGACAGAATATACTTTAATTGGGAAGAAAAGAAACTAAAAAGGAGGAGAAATTCCATGACACTTTCCTTGCACAAGCTATACTTATTACGGTATACCTACATGGCTAACATGCAAATCCAATCGAAAACCTCAGAAGAGCAAGCCCATGACAAAAAGCACGCTTCACATCAAAATTAACTCAGAGAGATTCTGAATTGACCTGTAACTGTATCTCTTTTTGTCACACGTTTCAATGTGATCTTCCTTAATAATTAAAAGCACTAAAGGTACTCACAAAATCCCCTCTTAACAACCATGCAAAGCAAGGAAATTAACCAAGCAATCTGACAGCCTGACCCTGTACAGGCAACCCCCAAAGACTTCTACAGCAAGTTCTTTCAGTGGCTTTCAGCACTGAAGATTTTGCTGGAAAGCAGCGACCAGAAGGCAAGCAGACTGGTGTGAACTGTGGAATCTCAAAAAGCTCATTTTTCTCCCATGCACAGTGCATGCCAAATCTTAAAATTCCTGCAGCATCCAGTTATGAAATTACAATAGAAGAGAAAAACAGATGGCTAAAGCCTTTTGGAAAAAAAGATTAAGCATTACTTCATTTCCAAAAGAGAAAGATGTATGTTTGAAAATACAGAACCTACTTCAGACCATATCCAATTGACACAAAAATAGGTAACTTGCCTCATGGAAATGAATCCTGTCTTCAGTTACAGTGGCATACAAGAAAAGTTTAACCCTTTTAGAACATCATGGCTCACTGTATTCTTAAGCAGGATTTAAAACAAAGCAGTTCATATAGAAGATGACAGGTATTAAAAACATTGTAAAAAATAAGACATTTCTTTATCTTAAAGCAACTATTGAATGTCAAATCCTGCAGAAAAGCCTATTCTTTTCCAGTGTTTTTAAGCCGTTAGCACTTACATTCAGGTGAGCAGCTTTCTCGCTCATAAAAGCATCCAACGGACATCATATTAGGAACTTGGCAACCTCAACTCTGTTTTAGGCCATTCCCTGTGGAAACCAGTCAACACTACACTTGAAGCCCCTGTTGGGTCCCTGACTTGCGAGACATTACACAAAAATAAGGAAACATAAAAGCCATCCTAGAGAGCTCACGTGTTCAGCACTAGGTGCTTCGGCGGCAGTTTAAAACAGCTATCACAGCTTCAGGTCTGAATACTGGAACTGATCTCTGGTCCAAAAGAGCATTTTCCCTCCCACGAGGCTCCTCTGCTGAGGCTGTGCCTCCGACAAGCCTTGACTCAGTCGCCTGAACAGAGGCCTCCAGCAGCTGAGAAGCCCCAGGGTACACGAGAGATGCTTGCCAGGCTGGCAGGCTTGACACAGGATCAACAGGAGGGAGACCTGAGCTTCTCCAAACTGGCAGCTGGGACTGGCAGAAAACCCAAAGGCATCTCTAACAGCGCTAGACACCAATGTTCAGACAACTGAACTCAGTCCCCTGCGCAAGTCTCAGCATTACACCAGCCAGCAATGCCCAGCACGGTCCTATCCCACCCAGCAACAGTCTGCTCCAACAGCACAGAGCAGCAAATACAACTTTTTTTGTAGAAGTCTAAGCAATATGCACGAGACTGATTTCTTGCTTTATTCAGTGGCTACGCGCTGAGATGGACTAAATTAACTCTCTCCTATCATGCACAGTCCTTCCAGGCCAGGACTGCAGCTCACTGTCGAGGCTGGCTGGAAAATCCTGCACTGCCCCAGCTTATTCCAAGGGTAAGTGGAGGATGACACACTCCAGCACTGCCAAGCAAGCGCCTTTCAAAAAAAATCAAGTGCTTATATGATTAGTGCAAAGCATGACGTTCTCACAGTAGCAGGGAGTCACTAATCCATATTAAAGACCAAGACTACATTTATTTATTTATTTTTAATGAAAGGCTCTAAATGAACCAACTGCTCAATTTTTTAAAGGTATGAGCAGCCACAATAATTAGGTCTGGGTCAGCAGGAGCAGCCAGAATGCCAGAGAAGTGACTCAGTCCTGTTAATTACCTGAAAATAAGGGGTTTTTAATGAAACAGTGACAACACTGAACACTCCATCACAACCTGGCCCCCCCAAGTGCACCACCAACGAAAAACAATCATCTGAGAGTAGCCATCTTTAATCATTAGTAGGGACAAGAAACAAAAATTATAGAGAGCAAAAGAAGCAAGGAAAGGGAGTTTCAGCCTATGTTGGACAAATGCTGCTGTACCTACAGATAATCCTTTTAAAGAGTGAAGCAGCAACACCAGAGTGGTAGCAACTTCCCACACAGAAAGCACAACCCCAGAAAAAAAAAAAAAAAAAAAAAAAAAGAGAGCAGCAGCTGTTTTGAACACAAAGTTTAAAAAAATTCAAATCAATAAAAGCCCAGAGGGGACAAGTAGTATTAAAGCCAACCAGAAATACACCCAACATTGCAAACTGCACACAATCAGTTACAAAATATTCTAAAACACAAGTCATTTTCCGAAGAGTTAGACAAATGTAAACCTAACAGAAAATAGCAGTTCACAGATAGGTACCCAGCCCGTTTTGGTCACGCAGTCTTTGCTCACAGACACATCTCAGTTCAAGTGTGTTTATGACTGCATTGTCATTTATTTTAAAATATGAATGGAGCATTCTTTTCCTCCAGAAACACGGCATTGTTAAAATGCCAGTACATTAAAATAACTTACTGCTTACTACATTTCAATCAAACAAACTACAGACTACAGCACTGCCACTCAATATATATTAAGAGTGGTTTCAGCAAGCGCAGCATATGGAGTTCATTTCTTCTGCTTTGCTCTCACATAGGCCAAACTCAGAGACAAGCTTTGAAATAGAGGAAGCAGTGATTCTGTCAGCACGTGCAAAACTATCTTCTCCGAAGTTAAGGAAAGACTTCGCTGAAGCTTCTCAAAATTTGTAAATATTTACCCTTTTGTTTCATATGAGAGTTCCACTTAGAGCACAAATACCGTATTTTAGCTTGCATGCTTAAAGAACATTTTTGTTAAGGTTCTCCAAACAAGAGGAAACAGAATAGAAAAGCCTACAATCAAATGACTGAGTGATGTTTTTTCCCTATTGTTATTTTTCCTAGAATTCATCCACATTTCACCACCATACTGTTGCTTCGTCAAAACCAACACAAGCGCTGATCTTGCCTGTATTTAAATTCAAGAATGTAAAATGAAGATTCAGAAAGACAACCCATTTTTAAAAAATTATTTGCATATCTGAGGTTTTGAAAGGCTGTTTCACTATTTCACACACAGGCATTTTGCTAGGTGGGCACTCTAATTTATGATTAAACAATAAGCTAATTGTTTCTAAAATAACAAGATTGTTCACAAGAGAACTTTTGTGTGTGACTTTTTATTAAATCAAGTGAAAGTTAGCTGCAGATCCAATCTGAACATTCCCCTGCAGCATTCTGCAAATTCTCAAGCAAGGAGTGAATCAAAGTGAAAATGAAAGCCAAACCAGCTAGTTTATGCAAACAAAACATAAAAAGTAATACACACAACTGCTGAAATAAACCTGATAAACCAAAATTACTGTGGAAAACTCTTTGGCCTGAAACTAGACAGTAGATCCCATGAGATAATCACGACAGCCTCTTTCAACTTCTAAAATGTTTTTATTTGTAGTTTATTTTGTGAACGCAAGTTCAACTTCCAAAACAATTATATTTCTTAATAATATTTCGAAATATTTTAGGCAAGAAGATAACTTGTTTAAAAAAAAAATAAATTGTAACCTGACAGCGTTCCTTTAAAATAGAGCAGCGAGCACCCTTCCAGCATATTTGACAGAGATTTCCAACTCCAAGAGACAGAATTTAAATTTGTAGAGGCAATTACTCATAACCAGCAAAAGCAGCCAATGCAAGTGTCAAACTTGCCAACAAGAAGGAAAAGGCCAAGTAATAGAAAGGAGGCTGCAGTTTATTACAAGGCAATTTGAGCATCTCAGTCCACGAGGTCTGAAAACTACTGTCTTCATCTCCTGACAGTACAGGCTCACACTAATGTGAAGAATTATGTCAGTAACATCAATATTCCAAACATATAAAACAGCACTTAAGTATCTGTATAATGGAAATCTTTGCCTGACTATTTAAAAGCTGCTTCTAGTCTTCCCTAGCAGACTTATTTCAGCTCATTTTGCACAGGAAGGAAGATGCACCAGACCCATGCCATTAACTGTTTACTGCTGTCTAGTCAGCTCCAAGGCCATCCAACTGGACCACCACTGCACAAAATTCTTGTCTAACTAAACAAATACCTTAAGACAATTCCCAAGGATCTGTCTCTTGCTTCTTTCCATTAAGGATTAAAGAGAAGAGAAGAAGGAGAGCCAAGATGTCTTTGGGTAAAAAAAGTCAGAATCAAAATGGGTATCCATACCAGATTAACACACAACCATCTTCAGGGCTGAACTCAAATGCCTCAATCAGCTAACAACAGTGTCAGCAGGTAACACTCAGCACCAAGAGTTGAAAGTTGGAAAACAGCTCTTGGGAAATATTAAAAACAAACAAAAAAACCCAACCAAAACCAAACCAACCACAAAACCAACAACCAGACCACTAAGTCACAGATGCCGAGAGCTAATAAATGCACCATCCTCTGCATGATAACAACAATGCCAGCTAAGAAAATCAGAGTACAGAACAAAACCAACAGGTCCAAGATAAGTATGCAGCAAAGCAAGCACACAAGACAGGCAAGGGCCCCACACAGCTGCTTCTGCAACAGGCAAGCAGGAGAAAGCGGGGGGGGTGAGGGGGCGTGGGGGTGTCATGCACACAAAATGAACAACATCCTTCCTATTTCAGCACCAGCAACTTACTCCACCACTTGTGCAGCAACACGAGCCACTTCTTACCATTTTTTGGTGCACTCGACCATCAACTCCTGGTAAGAGGCCACAAACTGGAACTTGGATGCATGTTTCCCAACACGCTGCAGTCTTTTCCAAACTGAAGCCATGATGGTGAGAAATACCAGTCCTCTTACACAGTAGCAACTCTGCCAATGCCAATGTAGGTTTAAGAGTGTGTGTGCTCACTACTAGCAGGTTTATATACAGACACAGTAAAAGTGCACGAGGAACTTGATGGGATGTCTACAATTCATATTCTGCCTCTCCCTTCTTCACGGTAAGTCCCGGTCTAGCTGAATGGCGCATCACTGGCCAGGAGCAGCATGCAATAGGAGCAGACAGGTAACTGAAAGGAAGTTCGCTCATGGAATCGTCATTCTTCACACAGTAGATGGAGACTGCAGGACTGGAAGACAGGTAAGACAGAGGGAGAAAGCATTGGTTAATATCTACATACTACAGTGCTGCAATTGCACGTGATTTCGTACCTTTCAAACAACTACAATAAACCACAAAAACACACCCCCTTCCTGTTGTCTTCCCCCCCTCCAATTAAATAAATAAGAATGCTACAGCAATTTCAAGAATGCAAACCACGAATCTATCTGGAAACATATCAACATGTCCTTTTATCAGCACCATCATAATTGGCAACAACAACAAAAAAGGGCAGGTCAGGGCCACACCGAATCCTTATGAAGCATCTCTGGGAAGCAATGCAAAGTGGCTGAGGTAGTGCCAATGAGCAGGGAGACGAAGGCAAGTTCTTTGTCTTGATGACAAAAGGTGTAACAGTTCTTTCCTCTCACACACGCACACCTCCCGCTCTCATTTCTCTTTCCGAGTAGAAGGAACAGCCAAGAAGCCGGCAAGGGAGTGTTACTACTTAAATGCCTGTGCCAGGGGGAGGAGGAGGATGAAAGAGGAAGGGGCATTTCCTGAGCCCTGGCTGGCCAGGATTCCCCATCTTCCTCGCTGCATCATATTGAAATGAAAATGCCTCTCCTTCCTGAACTGAGAAACACTCGTCAGGGAGGTGAAAAGGCAAAGGAGAAACCCAGATGGGTCTTCTCCCTCCAAAGGAAAGCAGCATCTCTGCTGGGTGCGGAGAGAAAAGCCTCTTCATTAGGAATACAGGGAAGCAAAAGGTGGCTGCACCTGGCAAGAAGGCAAGGGTCGGATGGCATCAAAGCTGGCAAGGAGGCAACCTGGGGTCCAGGAATGTACCCCGGGAGGGGGCCGTCCCCACCAGCCCCGAGGTGAGGAACGGCCCCGCTCCGCCTCA